ATTGAGAATTATAGCGTGTGTTTAAGTTAAAGTGACAGTGGAAATTTAGTGTATTGCAAAGTTGAATTGAGAAAGAATAAACTAGTTTTATTTCAGAAAGGACTTGTATCGCTGAAGTTGTTCGGAAAGAATTTCTACTGAAAATTAACAAACGAACAGAGACGTAACAATACAACAAAAGCACGTGTCTAGCAAACATTAGGACATTCAACAGGTTCCACGATCTTTCTAAAACTCCAGTGCATGCTCTCAGCATCGCGCGACTTCCGCTGTCGTAACAATATGTTGAAATGACTGAAGAGGACATGTTAAATTGTATAGAAGGACCCATCAGAGTTTGTGACTCTAACTAAGGTATTTATTCAGTGCCTATTGTAACTTGTAATTATGTAATATTCACAGGAATGAAAAATAGAATAACTGAATTATATGAGAAAAGAATAATTATTTCTAAACCATTGTATTTTTTATAAAACTAGAACTCCAGGAACTTGGTTATTTAACGTTAAAGATGAACTTGCTTTATCAGTAGTATGTACAAAGTCAAATGTGCACCAATTTGATTACCATACTAGAGTAATTAAGTTAAACGATAGTGGTTATTTAAAATTAGCCAGAAATTGTTCAATTCACGGTCAAGGTATTACCTTGCCCTCTAGCTTTAGAAGTGAAACTAAATATGTAGGATCTCAATTAAATGTCAAAATTTCAGAGTTACAGGAACTATTAACTAAAAAGGAATTGTAATTAATTCAAGGTATAAATGTAAAGTTAACAAATATACTAGAAGACACTAAACATTTACCTCCTAGCAAGTCAGGATTAAGTTTTAAGGATTTCCAACTGCATGTAGACCACTTGCGAGCTACAGCTGAAGGACAGAGGTTAGCTAATTGGAAATTATCTAATTCAGTGTTGGTAACTTTATGCTTAGTAGTAGTACTAGTAAGCATAACGTTATACATTAAAAGAGACAAATTAGCTTTATTAAAGTTAATGACATTAGATGGGATGTCTAAAGGTAGAAAGAATAAGAGAGCAAGACTGGAGAATAATGGATTGTCTGAGTATTCAGAAGCTACTGAAATAGTAGAATTAAACGAGTAGGCCCCATTTAATCAGAACATAGCTTGATTATATAGATGATTGCCAAATTGACTCAACTTAACTAGTTGGTGAGGTTAGCTGATTGTTAAAGTATAATAATAGTCAAAATTGACAGGCAATATTAATGGGTATAGAAAAGTTCGAGAAATGACGAAAGTTAATGGACAGTGACAGCAAGTCAAGAAATAAACTACGTTAATGATCAGAGACACCCTATCAA